TGATAGCTTGTTGCCATCACTTAGCGATTTATCAACAGTCCCACCTGGACTCTTAACTGGGTGTTCATTTTCAATGTCCAATTCACTTGGAATTTGACCGTTTGGCATTTTTCTAATGTCCTCATTACAGTACTTGTAAGTTCGTTTATTTTGCAAAGACTTCAACATGTAGCGGTCCCCATCCAGAACCTCAATCACCAAAAATGGACCTCTAAACTTTGCATCTAATTTGGTTTGGTGTCTCTCTTCGTTTTTCAATAGCACATAGTCACCAACCTTGTATCTCACAACCGGTGCTTTACCCTTATCGAACCTGATTTTATCGTACGCAGCAATATTTCCCATATTCTCAGAAGCCTTATTTCTAACTTTTGCTACATCGACTGCAACCTCAGTATCGCATGGTGGTATTAAACCGAGAGGACGAGCCTCCTTACCAATCAACAATTCCAAGGGACTTGCTGCAGTAGAACGGTTTGTGGTACAGTTTAAAGCGAACTGAACCTCGCCGAGAGCGTCTTGCCAAGATCGGTTACTGGATTCTACTGCTGTCAACAAGTTCTTCAACGTGCTCATCACACGCTCAACTTGCCCGTTAGCGCGACTCGCCCCTGTAGCAATTAAATGAAGTTTTATATTTTGTGATGAACAAAATTCTGAAAATTTCGAGCTAGTAAAGCATCGACCCTGGTCAGCAATGATACGGTTGGGAACCCCAAACAAAGAAATAGAAGACTTAAGAGCTTTCATACAACTCTCAGTATCTAACTTTAAAGTGTGGAACAAATAAACGTATTTAGTGAATGCATCGATTTGCACGATCACATATTCTTTGAGGTCACTTTTCCCACTTAACTTTCCTGTTATGTCAACATGTACTGTGTGCCAAGGCACATTTATTTTAGGAATTGGATGGAGCTCTGCTTGCTTTTTCCCCGAAGAACCCTTGACAGATTTGCACGTTATACAATTATCAACAAATTTTCGAACGTATTTATTCATGTTATCAAACCAGTAGTATTGATAGACTTTGTCAAGTGTTTTTTTTTTCACCCTAAGTGCATTATTGATTCATGCACCTGATTTATAACTGACCATTTGAATACGCGCGGAACAACGGGTAAGCAAAGGGTTCTATTATTCCTTTGAACCTTGCGAAATAAGATTCCCTTCCTCAACTCATAGGTTTTGGACAAATCTTCTGTAAGCTCATTCGAATTTAATTTATTTACAATGCCAGCTATGTCTGCATCTAATTGCTGTTCAGCGTGAAACCATTCACATGAAATTTCCGCCAAATTTACTCGCTTCTCAGGAATTTTGCTTAACATTAACTCAGAGTTCGCTTTAATAGGATTTCTTGACAAAAAGTCAACATGAGCCATGCGTTTACCTTCACGGTACTGAATATCAAAATCGAACGATTGTAAGTACGCCCACCAGCGATGCACTCTTGGAGTCAGATCTATTTTAGTACGCGATGCCTTGAGAGAATTGCAGTCAGTGTAAACTACAAACTTACGACCAAGCAAATAATGCCGATAATGTTTAACGGCCTGAACGACCGCCAACGTCTCCAACTCATAAGAGTGGTACCTAGACTCAGCGGAGGTAGTCGTTTTGCTAAAATATTCAATTACGTAAACTACAAACTTACGACCAAGAAAATAATGCCGATAATGTTTAACGGCCTGAACGACCGCCAACGTCTCCAACTCATAAGAGTGGTACCTAGACACAGCGGAGGTAGTCGTTTTGCTAAAATATTCAATTACGTGAGGTATGTTGTTAATTCTATGCAAGAGCATAGCACCATAACCGCAAGCTAGGTCGGATAATATTACATTGCATTAATTCGTTTAACTTAGCCCGAACTATTTCTTTCTCATTAGGGCTGAGCCTATACGGGCGCCTTTGTGCTGTTTTATTAGAATCTATTAGCCGAATTTTCATCTCCCCCGTACTAACTCTTGTACAAGGAGTACCATTTATAAACGATGTCTCATATTGTTCAACTAATTGGATTAATAAATCTTTGTCATTACCGGTTAATTAAGTGTCGATATCTTTTAGATTGCCTGTGGGTTCAGACACAACACAAACATTAAAACCTTGTTTAAGGATTTCGCGACCAATGACAATATCATTCTTTAAATGATTATCTTGCACTACGTGAAACAGTATCTCAATAGCATTATCATTAATAGTAACATTGGCTAAAATTTGTAATGTACTGTATATTCCCCCATCACCGATTCCCCGTAATATTACAACATTGTGAATACGTTTGCCAGATAATTTTAGGCCAATACTTTCTTTAACTAATGAGCACCACTGCGATGCGTCGACACCCATTCCATCAGGGTTAAATTTTGGTAATGCAACAACAGTATTTTGTGTCTCCACACGAGTCGATGCCTGGATATTTTTCACAATCTCAGCAAATTCCGAATTTGCATTTCAAGGAAAAAACGCCATTGTTCATTAGAAAATGTAGGAGTTTGGGCCGAGCCCACTTCTGATGTCGGGTTTACCTCCATGGCCGGAGCATTCTGTGCCGCCGGAGTAGTGTTTTGTGCTGCCGGAATAGCAATCGGAGCAACCTCCACCGCCGGAGCAGCTCCAAGATGTGGAAGGATAGCTCCCACTTCCAATTGCGCCGGAGTAGCTTCCATGTCTGTAATTTTATTTGTATCCTCCATTTTGCATGCCAATGGTGTCGTGCTGCACTGGCCATATAACAATGAATTCCTGAGTGTTGTGTAATCGTTCGTTATCAAATGGATACTGCCTTGTTCTTCAGCCGAGTGTATTCATTCAACCAATACACTCGGAAAGTAGAACTTCAACTTCATACACAAACATTATTGTTTCACTCACTCTTTAACACTCATCAACACTCAGGACTACATTCAGCCGCAGCTTGTCTCGCTCTTACAGTTTTCCGTGCGTGAACGGGTATAGTGTACTCTCACGAACTCAACAATTAAGGCGACACCATTAGAGGAGGTAGGATAGCAAGTTGGTGAACACAAATGAGGATTCGCAATTGAGACAACAGCTCGGATATTTGCTGTGTTCCAATTCATATGGAGTTGTGCATTCTATATCAACCTACCCTGGGAGAAATTTATGACATATACGACATATATAAATTTGTGAAAATGTGTAGAGAAAATTATTAAAAACTGTAATAAAATGAAAACTGTGTTAAAATAAAAACTGTATTAAAATGAAAACTGGATTAAAATGAACTAACACAAATGTGAATACATACTTTTTTTATTTCTTACTAAAGGTGATTTAAATGGGGATATAAAAGAAAAATGGGGATTTTTTGGGCATAACTGCGGCCCGATATGGGGATGGGGTACAAAAATATTCTGGCAACACTGTAGCAGCCAGCCAGTTTGGGTTCGCACTTCATGCAGTAAGCAGCTTATGCGCAAGTTTTTTTTTTTAGTACACACATACTGAGACAAAAATTTTGCACTTGTATTGGAAGCTCTGCCAGCGCTGTACACCACTGGCATAGATACATATGTGCATAGATACATACATATATAAGTGTCCGCATATATTTTTTTTCTCGTCACTTGCTCTGTCGCTTCACTTCAGCAAAACCAAGTTGTGGGGAAAACCCTGACGAAATGCGTACAATTGAAACCATGGGTTTGAAGATTGCGCAAATTGATGTGAAAATTTAAATTTCATATTAAATATATTTATGTATGCATGTACATATGCACATATGTAAAAATGTAGTTTCGATTTAAAAAAATCGGATAAAGGTTTTCTTTCGCCATTCATACACCTCTAATTTTAGTATTTATTTAAAAAAACTCAATGAAATTCAAAAACTATCTCTGGCATTTGGTTTTACTCAGTACCGATTTGAGCTGTCGCACAGTTTTATCAAAAAAAAAGCTATTAATGGGTAGGTTCAGAAGACGCAGTAGTTGAGCGCAACCGTTGCTAAACCGTTACGTCTTCTGAACGACTTGATACATTAGCTGTCAAATTCAACTCTCAAAGGTACTCACCAACATGCTGTCTCAAATGTTCAAAAAAATATTACGATCATCTAACACGCAACTATTCAGTTGATCGGAAGTACGCAACAACGCGTTATTTGTAAAGGCTCTCAAGAAAAACTAAAAATTCATATAAAATTACGCACAATAAATGGAAAATAAATTTGCTTCTATAAAAAATTTCTTAAATCAGTATGCAGCTCTTAAGAAAAAAATGCTCGTACATCTCGTCGCTACCATGTCCAACTTTCGAATGTGAAAATCGGCACTTTTTAAAATTTTGATTTGCCACTAATAATTTTATTTCGTATAGCAGCATTGCTGAAGTTAATGTTTTTGACAACTTATGTGTTGGTTAATGACTGCAAATAGTTTTATAGAAAATAAGAAAGGAGAAATAATACTTTCATAAAAATTTAAGTACATACATAGATTTAAAAAGCTGCTTAAATACAAAAGTTTTATGAAAATGTCATATTAAACAACTGTTTAAATCTACGTTATTTTTTTATAAATAAGGCCGTTAACATTTCCTTACATCGTCAATTTCCATATTTTATTTTTACTCTTTCAATTTCGCTGACCAGCGCCGCAAACGATATCACCTAGTAGGCTAACAACCAAAATTGAAATTAAATACGCAAGTACTTACAGTACTACATGTATACAGAGAGTAGATTTGCTACTCCCTTTTGGCAGCAGCAAACATCTCTCGTACGCGATGAGAGAAAGTAGAGTACCTACTTTGGTGGAGTAATAGCAAGTACGTCAAGTATTTACTCTCTCAACGCCAAGTAGTGTATGTATGAGGAAAAAGAGTAACAATGTGTTGGGAGTAGAGTACAATGCAAAGAGTACTTATTGAACGAAATGCGACAAATACACTTGCGCTGGACTTTAATACATACATATAAATATTTATTTTTAATAACAATCAGGGGTTATATTCGATGTAAATAAGTTGGTTTAAATTAAATAACTAAATCAAATTCGTTTTTGTTTTACAATACCGCTATGCACTATTATCCTCACCTTTTTGTGGAATTTAGCTACAATTTTCGGAAGTGTGATTGAATTCTTTAATTTTTTCTTCTGCTTCCAAAAACCATCCCTGTGGGTGGGAGTGTCTAATTTTAGAAAAAAGCTACTTACAAAACCTTTCATTATTGAATCATGGAAAATACGAAAACTCCGATGTTTCAGTAATTGAGGACGCTAATTTACTCCAAGTTAATACCTACAACATTCTCTTAACAATAAATATTACCGTAATTATTACAAAAATGTAGTTTTATTACATTTTCTTACCTTTTCTGTGATACATATTTGAATTATCTAATTCTCTAAATTAAAGTTGAATCTGATTTTTTAATCCGTAAGGGTGGCCACCGTTGCTAAAAATAAAGCGTTTTCAAAACCATTTCCATTGATACCCATATTGCAGCAATGCATTTAAAAGAACTAATTTTTTTAACAGGTGGCAACTCTGTTACTGGCCGTCTCCACTGGATCAAATTTATTGCTGTCATTTTTGTCGCTAAATATAAGTTATATCGGTGGCAATATTTGTGTGGGCTCTTTATATATTGATATAAGCATTTGTAAGATAGCTTCTAAAACGTATTTTTGCTTGATTTAATCGCCTAAAAAATTTAGAAAATAGGTTTTGACGTTAATAGATCGGTCTTGAGCTGGTACGGCTCTTAAAACATCCGCAACTTTCTTTAAAGCATCGCTGCTAATTGCTGAGAGAACCAAATTATATTTCCCTACATAAGATGTGATCATTAATGACTGGTGCGAAATAAAGTCAATTGATATTATTACCTTTTCAAAAGCGAAATAAAGTCAACAAAAATTTGGAAATAAAGTCATTGACGCTATTTCCTCATTCAAATGGAAATAGCGTCAACAATGCTTAAAGTATGTCGATTCATAGAAACAAATGTTGTTCTTACAATAAACATTGCCCCGTAAGTGTTGTTTTTTTAATATGTAGATGAAAAACATGTTTCGTTTCCACAAAAATAAAGCGAACACTATTAAATTGAAAAAACAGTCCATGTGCAAAAACCACGGAGGAACACTGAAAGAATTCTGTGTTTTAAATTAGCATATTTTGAAAGATGGAAAAGAAACCAACCTTTCTATAAGGAAACAATTATAGAAAAAGAATTTTCTTACACTGTATTCATGTCTGCGCCAGCAATTTGTGACGACATCATTTAAAAGCAGCTAAGGAGAATGACGACACGCGGCATAGCATGACGTGGTGTATATCTATATTTGACTTTTGTTTGTGCTAAATAGTCCTGGTTTCAACGTTTGTGTTCAACATATATTATTTAAGCAATTATTTAATATACAATTCTGCGGATACAAGTAGTATAAATATGCTAGCAGCGCTGCCTGCACAAGGCCAGAACCGGCATATGGTTTG